GTTCGATCTGTGAGTTAGCCATGCCCTGACTTAGATCAACCCAGAGGTTGTTTCAGGGTTCGATCTGTGAGTTAGCCATGCCCTGACTTAGATCAGCCCCGAGGTTGTTTCAGGGTTTGATCTGTGAGTTAGCCATGCCCTGACTTAGATCAGCCCAGAGGAATACACATTGACTTACGATATTACCTTTGTTGTTTCTCCAGGATGGACGTGTATCTTCAGCTGTTATGGTGTCCGCATTCTTTGTCTTCTGTAAGCTGTTCAAAAACCCCAACGTCGCTGCAGACATGTTCAGCATACGACGGTGTGGTATTGGACAGAAAGTCTCTCTTACTCCCTCCCAAGAAAGGTAATGAAACTTTTACATATTCATAGAACGTTGGGATTCCTGTGGTACTCAGTTTATGCGAACACCGAAGGGACCAAAAGATGTCCGTAATAATATAATAATATAATAATAGTAGTAATAATAAAAATATAAAAATATAATGGTAATAGTATACTAATAAAATAATATAATAATATAATGATATGATGATATAATAATACTGATAATTATAATAATATTAATAATAATAATAATAATAATAATAATAGACCGTCCGCATTCAATAGAGCAGGTGCGGTATTTTAGGAATTCGAAAATGACCAGTTTGGCATTTGATACCACATACCGCTGTCTTGAAGACTACAGACTCATTTGCACAGGCTTAGCCTCGTTTATAAGTCAGCCAATCACAGATACCATTGAAAATCCTTTAGATTTCAAAACATTGGTATTGTTCGATTTGCACATTTATCTACATTACAGTTAACTTACACTGTTGCAAATTATTATTTTCCCCCTTAGGTATCTTTTATACGTGACCCAACTTATCAATAACCCTAGTATCAAACCGCAGAAATCATCGTCATACATTAAATCAGTGACTTTGAACCCTGTACCATGTTTTAACAAGTCGAGGTAAGACAAGCTCCTCTCTCGTTATTTTGTCGTATGCCCATCGCTTTCTTCTCGCAAAGCTTTCGTTTTCGTCTCGCAAAGCGCTCGCATTCTACTCCCCGCCCATCGTTTTCCTCTCGCTTCTCTTTCGTTTTTTTCTCACAAGCTTTAGCTTTCTTCTCGCAAAGCTTTCGTTTCCGACTCGCAAAGCGTTCGCATTGTACTCGCCGCCCTCCGTTTCCTCTCGCTTCTCTTTGGTTTTTTTCTCGCATAGCTTTCGCTTTCTTCTCGCAAAGCTTTTGTTTCCTTCTCTCAAAGCGCTCGCATTCTTCTCCCCGCCCATCGTTTTCCTCTCGCTTCTCTTTCGTTATTTTCTCGCATGCCCATCGCTTTCTTCTCGCAAAGCTTTCGTTTCCGTCTCACAAAGCGTTCGCATTCTAGTCCCCGCCCATCGTTTTCCTCTCGCTACTCGTTCGCTTCCTCTCGAATTCTCACCGTTTAATTCACTAACAAAGTCTTCTTTCACTTCAGAAATGGTTGTCGACCTTTCATAGAAGTCTATCAGGGAGACCAAAGAGCACTAACTACTGTACAAGAAATAGAAAAGATGAGGTACAAGATGCTGCTCCAAAAATCTTGATCATTTCCCCCCATCCCCCCCCCTCCCCCTTTATCGACCTTGATGACCTTCAAAATCTAAGCATCAGGACACTAGTAGACTAGCCAATCACAACACGCGTCTACTAGAACAGTTTTCGTATGACTGTGAAAAGCTCAGTGCCGTAAGCGTGACGTGCCGTGACCATGTTACTTTCTAGAATTTCAATTGGCTGATTTTTTTCACGCGCAATATGATTGGTCTAAAAGTGCCGTGATCTTGGAGTGACCGTGTCCACGCCGTGTTTATGCCGTGTTCCGGGTATTTGATTGGATGGAGAGAAAATTCTCGTGCAATGTGATTGGTCTGGCGTATCCCTAGCCGTGTCACGACCGTATTCGTGCCGTAAACTTTTCACGGTCATACGAAAACTGCACTAAGTTGCTAATGCATAGTTTGTCGTTCTATTGAAGGGAATTCACCTTGAGCGATGGTAAGATTACGTTCCCTATCAACCTGACATTGATCGGTGACGTCACTATCATTGTCTACCACGGGCGGTCAACCCTTGGTGGTAAAGTACAGGGCAAGATGGCGTCCATTAGGGTGTTCCAAGTGCAGTTCCATACTGGCTTTATCAATCCTAATGCCACCAAACTGAAGTATTCAAAGTAAGTTATTGATTTGATCACAAAATATAAAGAAATGTATAGTTAACAAATTTCCAATGGTTTAGCTTAGTATGTCCTCTGGTTTACCACAATATGACGTCAACAGTTGGTTGAAATTTTGGTGTACCCACGACGTTACATAAAATACGTATTGTTAATTGCCCTATTTCACTATGACGTCACTGCTTGTTTATGTGGGGGATAGAATCGCCAAATCCAATAGAAAATTCAACAAAATTTGCTCCTAGCGAAACAGTTTAGTCTAAAATGGCCTGGTTTTCAGATATAATATGTGTTAATATGTACTAAAAAATATTCTGAGCGTTTGCTGGCTATTCTACTTCTCTTCGTGGATTGATACGGGTTTTAGAACAATTTTCGGGGAATTTGCGTTGATTTGACCCCGTCCGACGACCATGATCCTTTGCGTTTAAACAATAGATTGTTTTGATGTGACGTCATAGTGAAATAGGTAAGCCCTCTTATTTACCTCGGTTCTCGACCAATGAAAAAAAAMCCAGAAAATTTACATTTTCGTAAAAAATGATGTATTATATATGTATTGGGCAGATGACGTCACAGACTTCTTAAAAAGTTGAAAAAAATAGAATCTCATTTGGATTTCAAGAAAAAACTTTAACCAGTGGTTATTTTTCCAGCAGTTTCAGAGTAATTAAATTTTGGGCGATTTTTCGTGCAAGACCCTTTTTAATGACGTGATCTTGTTTTCAGAGCCGAGCTGGACATCAATAAAGATGATGAGTCTAAATTCCCCAGTCGATTCACAGTGACTCTTGATGTTAGTATCGATACAGATCGAGTAAGTCACACTACGCATACATGGGATACTCTAAACCCGAGTAGACTCACGCCTGGAATCTGCTTCTCGAGCAGAGAAGAATTTCTGGAATGCCAAGAAGAGTTTGGTAAGATATTTTTGACGTTGAACTTAAAAAATAGAGAGTGTAAGATTCTAGTTTACGGCAAACGTGAAACGTCAGTTGACCATTAAAAAATTCTTTAAAATTAGCAAAAAGGAATCGCAAAAATCTCCAAGTGATAGATAAACAAAAGAATACTTGTCTTTGTCGAGAAGGTTTGCAAAAGGTAAAGTGAAATGTAGGGAAACGATGAAAACGTGGTCACGTTTGCCGTTTGCGGGAAGGAAAAACGGGAATCTTAATCTGCCTAATGTAATACAATTTCCGTGTAAGCTGCTTTTATCTAAATATGTAGCGTGCTGTGAGAACACGAGAGAAGCGTAGAAAACCACGACCCGAAGCAAGCGCACGATTTTACTGTCTTTAAGAAAGCCATTGTAAATAGAATTGCACTATTTGAATCAGAGTTTGCAACAAAAAAAAAAAAAAAAAAAAAAGCGGGACTTGGAGCAAGTCTAAACTTGACACAGCTCAGCAAGCAAGTTTTTAAAATTTCTCTTGTAGAATACAAAATCGATTTGAGGAACACGAGCATATTTAATTAAATATAGAATTTGAAATATTTTTGATTCCATCATGGGTTTTAATTTTCACATTACGCTTTCCTCTTATCTTCTTTTTTTACGGTGCGTGACTACGTTTTCTTTCTTTCTCTTTTTTTCGCTCTCTCTCTCTCTCTCTCTCGTTTTCGTTTTTCCTCTTTTTCCTTCTTTACTTTCTTTAAATTTTATGTTTTACACGACTTAAAGCAAAGCATATTTTTATGGACTCCCTATGGCGAGGACATCAAACATCAAAGCTTCGTGCCTGTTTTGATCACATGACGCGACAGGTGCAAAAAAAAAAAAAAAACTTTTCGTGTTCGTAACGCAACTGAAATACCTCTATTTTTACAGTGAATGCAGATGATCGTGAATCTTCCATGACCTTTGATGCTGTACACGAAAATCGCCCGAGCTCTCCCGAGCAAGACGTACAGGAATCTAAAGAACCAGAGGCAAGCGTTGCTAATGACAACCAAACTGTAACGTCAGCTTCAGAGGAGTCTAAAGACGAAGACAGTGATGATGAGTTCACGAAAGAGTTGCTAAATTTACGTTTGAGTGAGCAAGAAAGTACAGAAATCGCACAAGAAGCTTTGGAAGACGAGGGTTTTTTCACGGATCGAGGAGGAAAAGAATCCAGTGCGAATGGCCATCATTTTGAACCATTTGCAGCGTTCGCAGACTTCGACGCGATTCAACATAGTCCTCAAGCTGATTTACTAGACGTTGGTCTTCACAAACCAATGAATACTTCAGAACCAAGTCATAGTATAACTGAATCCTTGGACTTATTAAACCTTGGTGTAGCCCATAAACACGATAGCCATAAGCACAAGTCTGGCCCAGAGAGTGGGGTTGATCTACTTAACCTGTTCACTAGCCCTAAACAGCATCATAATGTAGATCTTTTTGGCGATATTGACAAACATAAGTCAGATATGAAGAGGAATAGAAGTGCTGATGATATTTTGAGGTCGCATTCTCACGAAGAAGATGATTTTTTTAAACACCTTGGAGCTCGTAGTTCTGGCTCAAGCGTTGAGAATCTAGCCTCCCCAGGGAGTACTAGTTCGGATACTTTTGACCAATTTGGATTCAAATCGAATATTCATCATTCACATAGTGAAACGTTTGATCCTTTCAGTAATAAGAGAGACAGCAAATCTCCTACGAGTCCATTGGGTGGATTTGCATCACTTTCAAAAAGCACAGGGCTCCCGTCAAGTAACGCAAATCACGTTACGTCATCAGTTTCGAACACAGCCAATCAAAACGCCCCTGATTTGTTTGGAAATATGAATAAGAAAGATAACAAGAAAGACGCCGAGTTTACTTTGGATGGGGATTTATTTTCCATAAACATTGATTCCAAGCCTTCAAATCAGACCGGGCCAGATTTACTAGGAGAATGGGGCGAGGCATTTAAATCAGATGTCCCTCTAAACCCAGTCCCCTCTCCTATGGCGACCCCACCTGTACATCGAAAAGCTGAAGAGAAGAATGATGAGGGCAAGGCTGATCCTTTTGCAGATTTTGGGAACCTCTCAGGTCGTGGACCGGGGTCTGCGTTTACTGCGAACCAGAAAATTGCCTCACCAAGCCAACAACGGAAATCTTTCGGGGGATCCTCATGGAATCAGCCCCAGGCCAAGCCAGCAGCTCGACCAACTAGTGACCCAATCAGGAAGCCCCAGCAGCCTGCAAACCAATCGAAATCCAAGCCTAATTATTCTCCTGTGTTCGCGGCTGGGTCTGGAGGGTCTAGTGTGTTTGGAGAGTATGGACTGAGATCTTCACATCGTAAGTACTCTGGTGTTGTGATGTTGTTAACAAGAATGATTACATTGCCCGAGGATGATGCAAAAAACTACTGATAACAATTATGATGATGATTGTTGTGATAATAATTATAATGATTGTGGTGGTGATGATGGTCTGATTATGATGGTAATGGAGGTGATAGTGATGATGATGGTGCTGATGACAATGATGATGTCAATGATGGTGATTATGAAGGTAGCGATAAATATGATGGTGATTATGATGGTAATGGTGATGGTAACGATAATGGTGGTGATAATGATGATTATGTTGATGGTGGTGGKGGTGATGATGACAATGATAATGGTGATGATGATTATGGATAATCTTGATAATGATTACGATGATGAAAGATCAAGATGACTTTTGATGATGATTATAATAATAATGACTGATGATGATACATGAAATACATTGATCTTATAGTTCCTAAGCGTGTTGGCAAAGACGAATTCAGCGACTTCCTAGACGTACATGGCTTCAAAACGACTTCAGGAGACAAGAGCCCTGAGACGCTGAGGGGCTTGAAAAGAGAACAAAACAAACCAGACGACCCCATCAAAGCAAAGGTGGGCCATAAATTTAAATCCAGAGTTACTATTTTAATTAGAAGGGAGCAGTAATAGACATCCTGCAGCACGTCGGAATGCAGCTCAATTTGGAGGACATAATAATAGCAGGGTTCGTGCTACTCCTTAAACTCCTTGAAAACTCCTTGAATTTAATTCACGTTTTCAAGGGCACTTGAAAAGCTCTTGAATTTTATGATTTTAGCGAAACTCCTTGAAAACTCCTTGAAAACGCTTTGAACATTACTTGCATGGTTCTGAAATAGATCTAGTCAGAAAGATTGGAAAGTCTGAAAGTCGAGCATGTGCAACCACCGTGTAAAACCTTGGCATAGCTAGCTGAACATACTCCTTGAAAATTCATTTTTGGGTCCTTGTATACCCTCGTATAGTCCTTGAATATTAAGTGGTTACCTCAGCACGAACCCTGTAATAGGTTTCCATTTCTCAGAAAATTAAAATTCTTTTGTTTTGTCCTCCAAATTGGGCTGCTTTGACGTCACATGCAAGGGGTCGAGTTTGCATTGTGGGGCTGTTTTAGGGGACGAAATAGCTGCCATCTTGGAAATATGTTCCCTAAAACGGTCCCACAATGCACTTCAGTGCCAACTCGACCGAGTTTTTTCCTCAACCTCCAAAAGGCAAAATTGGTTCTTATAACACTAAATTTAACTTATTTTAGATAAGAGAATGGTCTGATGGTAAAGAGAGGAATATCCGTGCACTGCTCTGTTCACTCCACACTGTGCTTTGGGAAGGAGAAGAAAGATGGCAGCCAGTTGGAATGCACCAACTTGTACAACCAGAACAGGTAAAACACATTTCCTTTCTTCTTTTATTTTTTTTTTT